ACTGGTGAGATTCAAACACAGCCTGGAGACACTTAACTTTCACGGCGATGGACTGATGTTGGTTCTTGCTTGGGACCCATGGGCCACGTGATGCAGGATGCTAACATGATGGGGAAGATGTGACCCGGACATGGATGCTCTGCTATTTTTGCAACCCCCATGTAAATCTAAAACTATCGCAAAATCAACCATCTCTATATTTTTTTAAAATAAACGATTGGCTCGTGAGTAGAACTAAATAGGAGTCTTTGGGGCTTGCTCTGGAGACCTGGGGGGAGTGGACCCAATCGAACGCTTTCCGAGAATTTATGCTACAAGGTCAGAGGGATGGATTCTCAAAGGTGTTGATCCTTCAATAAATGTTTTCCAAGTTTGCCTTTGAAATACCTCCTGTTTCCTTCTTCCCGATAACAATTAAGGGACACCATCGGTGGCAGCGGAGAAATGAGCAGCCTGCCCTCAGACAGAGCTGGCAGAAGGCTGGCTGGACACCATTTCTGGTGTGCAAAGCAAAAATCGGTCCTTAACACCTTCATCTTGACCTTTCCAGCCAAATGTTGGTTGGCGTGACCAGGAGGAGATGATTCAACTATAAAGACTTTATAATTGAGCTTTAAGGGTGATGGCTCGACTTAGAAACTATTATTATAAGGATTATTTCTAACATTTGAGGGAAATGCAAACCTCAACCAATCAGGAAATGAGTCCTGAATTACGTGGGATGTTTTGGGGCAGGCTGTCCCGGGTGAGGCTGGACGGCAAATTGGAACCAGCTGTTGAGAGACTGGCTGGTGGGCGGTCACCCCTCTGGGGGTGTTGCTGTGGGGGGCTGGGGGCTGGATGGACAGGGATGGGATGGTGGAGGAGTCCGAACACCTGAGTCCTGCCCTCCGGGTTCACAGCCCCTCTGTCGGGGGAGAGCAGGAGTGGACAAAAGGGGCTTCGAGATCTGCTCCGAGGCTGATGGCTCAGGGGCTCAGGGGGTCGGGGAGCTGGCTCCTGGCCCGCAGCCTCCACCACGGCCCCCACTGCACGAGGGAGCCAGCGAGACCATCACTGCCTCTAAGTCCCGTATCTGCATCACTGCCCGGTCTGCAGGCATCCAAACCTGGTTTGAAGGACTGTCCCAAGCCTTGTGGGGGTCTCCCAGTACAGATGGCTAAGAGAAACAAAAGGAGGTAACAATGCCACCCAAACATGTAATAGGATGGCACATTCATGTACATATACATATATACCGCACATACACAGACACATGTACATATACATACACACATATGTTTCTATTCATATACGTGTATTAGTCTGGGGACATTTTTCATTGTCACAATGAGAGAGGGTGCTCCTGGCACCTGTTGGGTGGAGACCAGGGATGCTGCTCCACACCCCACAGGGCACAGGACACCACCACATCAGAGAACGGTCTAGCCCCAGATGTCAGTAGTGCTGAGGCTGAGAAACCCTGACCTAGCATGAGAGATTGATATCTATCTATCATATCTATCTATCTATCATCTATCTATCTATCTATCTATCATCTATATATAATCCTCTATCCCTCTATCTATCCATCCATCTATCATCATCTATCTATATCTTTCACCTATCATCTATTTATCTATCAATCATATCTATCTATCCATCTGTCATCTATCAATCTATTTCATCTATCTGTCATGTATCAATCATATCCATCTATCTACCTATCCATCTATCATCTATCTATCATCTACCTATCTATCATCAATTTATCTATCATCTTTCTATCATGTATGTATCTATCATCTATCTATCTATGTTTCTTTCATCTCTCTCTCTATCATCTCTATCTATATGTCTTTCCTCTATTTAACATCTCTCTATCATCTGTCTCTCTATCTCTCTATCTCTCTATCTCTCTATCTATCTATCTATGTATCATCCATCTATCTATTTCATCTATCATCTATCTATCAATCATATCCATCTATCCATCTATCATCTATCATCTACCTATCTATCTTCTATATATAATCATCTATCTATCCATCTTTCATCTATCATCTATTTATCTATCAATCATACCTATCATTTATCTATGTATCATCCATCTATCTATTTCATCTATCATCTATCTATCAATCATATCCATCTATCCATCTATCATCTATCATCTACCTATCTTCTATCTATCTATCATCTATCCTTCTTTCATCTATCATCTCTATCTTTCATCTATCATCTATCTGTCTATCTATCTATCTATCTATCTATCTATCTATCTATCTATCTACCTATCTTTCTATCTATCTTTCTATCTATCATCTATCTCTCGTCTATGACTGTGGTTCTCAAGCAAGACCACTTCTGTCCTCAGGGGACACGGATTCTGGAGACAGTTCTGGCGTCACATCTTGGAGGGCAAGTACTGACCGCCATCTAGTGGTCAGAAGACGGAAATGCTGCTAAACATCCCGGGACGCGCAGGGCAGCCTCCACAAAATGCAGGATGTGTCCCCAGATGTCACCATCGCCGAGGCTGAGAAGCCTGTCTTAGCGTGAGAGATTCTGTGTGTCTGCTGTTTATCTTGTCTCCATCTCTCTTTTTCTCTCTGAATCTCTGCCCCCACCACGCCCACGGGGGCCCCGTCTCCCAGCGCCCAACCACGCCCCCAGTGAGCTTCATTCTCCATGACTCACCGCGACCGCGGGGACCCCCATGTCCCCCCACAGCGCGCCCGCCGGGACCTCCCCATCTCCGCCCCCACCGCGCCCACGGG